GCTGAGACCATATGATCTTAGACAAGTGGGCAAGGAAGCATCATTGTGTGGGACAAAGAGCTGGCCTGAAGATTGTGTCAATGGTTGCCTACAAATAGAAAATATCATTTGGGATTTTTTAAAAAACAAAATAGGCAGAGTAACCCTGTATGTCCCTTGCAGGAGAGCAGAGAGAGATCTACTACTTCTCCATCCATAGCCATCCATGGCCCTGCTAGTTCTCTGAAGGCAAGGCTGGAAATGGGGAGCAGTTCTTTCCACTTCACTTCCTTTTGGTATAGAGTCAACTGGTTCTGAGAACATGTCAAGAGACCACACAGCTTTGGAGCATCCTATTCATACTCAGCTGCAGCGTTCCCCATTTCTTCCTGTAATTATGAATGCAACACTTCCAGGAGAACATCTGGACCAGGGTAGCTTTCCACCTGCATACCAGTGGTGATGTAAACATTATTCAGTCAACCAATCTCTCTTTCTGCTGCAGTGTGGCATTTACTGCACTTCGCAAGGTTGACCAAAGAGTAAGTATAGGATTGCTTCCTGTAATTGCATAGCCTTAGAAATGTTCCTTGCTTGAACTGACTTGTGCCATTGCAGCAGCCAGTCGGGACACCTCCTAAATAGTCACAAAAAAAGCTACCTCTACACAGGGACACACTGAGCTTTCTTGATGAAACTATGGGCTGGAGCTGCTCCTCCCCAAAAAAGGAAGGGCAGGGAATAATTTAAATAAATATGTGCTAATAAATAATTATGGAGCAAAGGCACACAGAACGAAGAACACACAAGAGAAATCCACCTTTACATATACAGTTAACCTAACAATGCTAAAACTTCCAACTAAAGACTTTGAAGTCCCATGAGCGAAAATCCCCATTCACATTTTATGTGAAATGAAAAAGACATAACTTAAAATCTGGGTAAATAATAAATAATGGGGAGGAAGCCATGGCTTATCTTGGCTGGCAGCATTCTAAAAAACAGTTATGAAGATCCTGATAATTCCCTCCCATTTCCACTCCATCCAGCTCTTTATCAATCTCAGCTTGAAAGTTCTCCAAGCTAGGATGCATGAAATTGGTATGTGAAAATGTCTTTTCTTTCCATAATCTTTGATAATCTTCCTGATGAGGAACTGCTGCAGCAGATGAAGTGAAATATTTACATGGATGAAGAACCTGTGATCCTCCAGACATTAATCAACTTCCAGCAGCTCTAGTCAGCACTGACCCTGATGAAGTTTTTGGAGAATTGTACCTCAGCATTATATGAAGGGTGACATGCGCACTCCGGAGCTAGAAGATAATTTCTTGAGTGTTTCAGTAGAAAAGGAAAGCAGAACAATATTTTCCACATAATGTTGGAGATGAAATTCCAATTCCATTTTAGGTCCAGGAGCAACCTGGAGTTTTAAGGTAGTTAGCACAAGACATTATTCACAGATAACTTTGGTAACACACAAATGGAAAAAAACCCCAAAGCAATCACCACAAGTATTCTTATTGCTTAATGAATGAACTAGTAATGGGGATGGGAGAAGATCTGGGTGATGTTAATAACACTGAGGAACAGTTTGGATCAAGACAAATTGCTTTGATTGTGCAGTTCCCTATTTATTCTCTGGAGTAACCCTTAAATAAATATGTGTAAAGGCACACAAAACAAAGAACACACAAGAGAAATCACAATGAATCTACAGTATGAATCTACACAAATGAATCTATGGTATTTGACAACAGAAATGGGGGCAGAATTTTACTGAACTGCTCCAGGTGTAATGGCAATTCTTCAGGAGCAGTAGAGACTGAGTTAGCCATCTGGCCTCATTTTGCATCTTCCTTAATGTGTTGATATTATGGGATAAACATGATGACTGACACTCCCAATTTGTCAAGGATATTTGAAGAAAAAATTTCCAAGTTATCTTCTTTTGGTGGAGTTATTAAAAAGATCCTTAGAAATTTCCCAGAGCACAATGAAATAAAGTATTCTGAGAACTTTTGATCGGCTCTATTTTGTGAGTTTCCCCACTCTGCTCCCATAGCAAGAAGTATTGCTCCATATTCTAATTTCTAAAAAAGGGATTCCGCTTGCTATTCAGCTTCATGGAAACTTTCATCTGGTTGCCATTCAATTTCAATTAAAATTAAGATGGAATCCATAGTTACTGATAATATGGAATTCCCTGGATAAATAGTATCAAATGATATTTTTAAACTTCTGGACTAAAGGTAATGGCAATTTTAATTGGGACATGGGTATGGGAAAGCTGGCAACAGTATAATTGTAAAATGGGAGATAATTCAGATAACTAACCCTATCAGCTAGATGGGGTTCTGGAAATTGAATTTCTCACATTCCAAGCAGTAGCTGGAATATGTATACATATCCATACTATAGAGAAGACATGGCTGAACATGTATTGAGTGTCCACAGCCAGGTTTCAGATTATTATGATTTATGATTTGTGGTAGATAAACATCTTCAGAACGGCAGTCAGTGATAGACAGATCTTCTGTTTCTACACAATGGACCCTATATTTGTCCCCACCTAAGTATGGGCCTTTCATGGGCAGGGTGAGATATGCTGCAAGTCAAACATTCTCTGGAGCATAGTCAGTACAGATTAAAAGGAAGGGGGGGGGAAGCAGACACATATCTTGCTTGATTTTAAAAACTGGAGCAGTTTTAGTTCTACAGTATTTGGGGAGGATCTACTTAGATCTTGTGAGGTGATACAGCTGGTTTGGAGAACATCAGCAGTTCAATTATTGCTATTATTCTGAAGTCCTGAGTGCTAACAAGGATACATTATTACATGCACACTCATACATACACCCTTTCCATTAATGGAACTGGAGCATAATTAGCACAGCATTTCTTATGGAAGTGTCTCAGTTCTTTCTTACTTTCAGTGTGTGAGATGATGCTTGTTTACTGCACAACTGAGAAGAGACATCCTCCTAATGAGATTCCTTAGCTGCCAATCTCTTACATCCAAAACGGTTTCCATATAAGAGAAGGTAATTAATGTACTGCCATAAAGAGTAAATGTCCCATCCATTCTTTTGCTGTGCTCAGATTTGAATGTTTCATACACTTCTCAGTTTTCACCAAAGCCCTTTGGGAAGAAATCACAACCCATCTTCATCATGGCTTGATTCTTCAGATTCAGGAGATTGAATTTAGAGGTTCATGGTTCCATGGGGTGAGGATGTCTCCCCAAATGTGGAAATATATAACTGCTGGATCAAAACTAAGAATGCATATAGGGGTGAGGAAGCAGAGGACTATATGTGATCTTTGAAGAATATGCTAGGATAACATTCCCAAAAGGAGGAAAGGACAACCTGTAGGATCTCATAGTGTACCATCTTGTCCCTGTGCTGTTCAATAGCTACAGGGATCCACTGGGGAAGGTCATTCAGAATTCTGAAGTGGGGGGTGGGAGGATACCCTCATATTACTTTTTGCTGATGACACTCAGCTCTCTTGCTTTTTACCATTCAACTCTAAGGAAGTAACTGGTAATCTAGAACATTGCTTTAATTTAATAATGGGCTGGAGCTGAAATTAAATCCAGCTCAAAGGCAGAAGTGCTGCTGGCAAATAGGATAGGAGATTTGAGGATTGAGATGCAACCTGCTTTGAATGGGGTTGCATTCTTCCTGAATGAGCAGCTTTGCCACCAGGGAGCATTTCTTGACAGTGTTTCAGCTGTCACTGGGTGTGCTGTGAACTGCGGTTGCACATTTATGCTGGCATACCAGCTGCAACTCTTCCTAAGCTGGTTGTATCTGCTGTTACCCATGCCTTGGTTACAGCTTATCTTGACAAGTATAACATGGTTCATGTGAAGCTACTCTTGAGAAGGGTCCAAAAGCTGCAACTGATGCAACTTGTATCAGCTAATCTTCCAATGGGTGTAAGATCTACATGTGCACTGATTGATAGTTGCTTAGCAGACACATTAATATTAACATGTAAAGTCTACAGAATATGACCATCTAAGGGATTTCTCCTCCTGTTATGAACCTATCAGGCAATTGAGATCTGTAGCCCATTTGAAGATGTGTTTATTCTTGGGGGCCTCTCACCTATGCAAGAAAGACCTTTTCTGCATTTCTCCCTCTTTTTCTATTTTCTATTCCTGCAGTTTGTTTGTGTGTTTGTATGTTTGTGTGTGTGTGTGTATGTGTGAACTCAGCAGGAAAAATGATATTTTTGGAGACTTTTTTTTTTGCCTAATATATGCATTTTTGGCCAGCAGTTAGCTGTATACAATGCATTTTGTACATTATTCTTCAATAACCTGTAAAGTTGTCCATATTTTTAATTGCAGAACTGCACTGCAAAATTCAGGTTCAAATACTGAAGGATAACTGTATTTAAAGGTGCATATTGATTTGGGAAGGGTGAATTAGCTATTAACCTGTAGACAAATAAATTCTTGCCTCGTGTGAGTCGTTAGATTTTGTTCTTCCCTCCATCTATCAGGCGAACATTCCATTTTTTATTCTAAAATGCAACGTGCACTAAAATATATTTCTATATTCATCTTTCCTCTTCTTTATTTTAAAGGTCACAGTTCTAAAGGAATGGCTTTAATTGGGTTGGGAGATGAGTTGGTGACATCACAGGCAGTAGCCAATCAGTATGATCTACTGCCCATGTTTGCTGCAGAGACATTTGTGTTTGTGTTCAGTTTGATTCTAAAGTTCACAGTATTTTAAGAATGTTATACCTGCCTTCAAATGAAGTAGCAAAGCATGAAGGAATCATTGTGATGATAGACTTAAAGGCCCATAAATTAGAGCTACTAAAATAAGTTTAAGTTCACAGGAATGGGGACATGCTTTGATTCCTTTTTCTTCCCCAAAGGGCTTCCCATGAAATCAGGTGGGAATATAATCCTTCATAGTTGGAATAAGTAAAATTCCTTCTTTTATTGTACTGATGCTACCAATATGTCAATCTCTCTGCAAATCCTTTTTCTTGGCTTATTCACCAAATATTGCACTGAGCTGTGCTCCAACCACATGGTGGGAATAAGAATCATAGGTCACATCTAATGGTAGGTCATACTTGGGCACTGTGGTTGAGAAATGGGAGGTGTGCCCATGAGCACTGCCCAGGCTAACAGACGGATAGTGGGCCATAAAGCTGTATGATTTTTCTAGATCTGGAGATCCATCTTGCTTTAGGGAAAAATTCCCACTGATGCTCAGAGGAGGTGTCAAGGGACCTTCATATGCTGGAGATGTACAGTCTGGGTGGTGATTGCCAAAGGAAGTCTCTACCAGGGTTTTGAAAGAGGGAGGCTTTAAATGTACAAGGTGTGTCTCCATGCTTCCATACGGTGGACTGGGCAATCCTGGAAGAAAACCATGACTGGACACAGCTGAGTCAGAAACAGGGACTTTCTCCTCATGCTTCTCCAGGAACAGGGATTGTGGTCCTAGCTGGAGACAACCAGCAACCAGATTGCTGGTTGGTTGGGACAGACCTTTACACAGCATCTCCACAAAACCTTTCCCTTCTGGAGTCTGCCCACTTTCCAGAACCTCTGACAAAGCCCAAATGTAGTTCCTGGCTAGCCTCAGTGTCTCAATTTTGGACAGCTTCTGGGTTTTAGAATAGCAGGGCATGACCCGCCTCAGGTTATCCAGAGCATCATTAAGTCCATGCATCCGTGTTCGTTCCCGGGCATTAGCTTTCACTCGGCGGGCCCTGAATCGCTCCAGCCTTGCTTTGGTCATCTTCTTCTTTTTTGGCCCCCTTCTCTTGGGCTTCCCATTATCTTCTTCTTCTTCATCCTCAACACTCTCATTCTCATCATTAATGCCAGAAAGAATCTCATAGGTGGCTTGCCGGCTGTCTTTGTCCTTCGTTTCATTTTGGGTACTCAAGGCTTCATCGATCCAGGATTGAGAAGATATGAGTTCAGCCATCTCTTTGGGCTTGGGGTAGAGTTTGGCCATCCCTTTACCCTGAAATAACAACCATACAATCCATATCAATTCCATGGGACTCAAGTCTAAAATCTTACAGAAATATAATAGGAAGTATAAATATTATTCTTTGTTATACCATGTTTAGTACATTATATAACTCACCCTTGACCTAAGCAGGGCTTTATTTTGAAGACAGGTCCCTTCCCCAAAATTACAGTTCATAGAATAACAGGTTCAGCCATAACCAAAGGCCTGCATAACTTAGCAATCCACAAGCCAAATGTAGCCCAGCAGCTACATGTTGTTGCTTGAAAATGCAATGACTCTCTTTTTTTGCATTTTCTAGCAGCAATAGTTGCAGAACGATGACTGTTGTCTGGTGGGCTACTGAAGATGGGGAGGTGAAGCATTGTTTAAATCCTGGGAAACAAGATAATATTCAGAAGTGACTCAGGCAAATGCCTTCCTAATTCACTAGAGTGTAAGAAGGAAGGGAAGTACAGCACAATCAGAATTGCAAGATTCTGTTATTATAGCCAATCTCAATAAAGTGTAGCTCTGGTCTTCCTGTGGAGTTCTTTTTCTGATCTGGTCTTCCTAGTGGGGCTGACAGGCACTATGTCCATGTTTGGCTTGGGGATCACAAGCGATTCTGTGATCAAGTCTTTCCTTTAGACATGGGAACATAGGGAACTGTCTTCTACTAAAGCCAAATAGTAGTCTATCTGTCATTGTATTTTTAGCAATGCCTGGCAATGATTTCTCTGGGTTTGAGGCAGATGTTTCGCCTTCCCTACTTTTGGCTGAGAGACTGAATCTGCAACCTTACGCATGTAGAGCATATTCTCTTTCATGAGCAATCCTTGCAAGAAGATGAAATTCTCATTAATTGCCTATAATCTGACCTTCATTCCTGGAAAGGGAAATCCACAGCCAAGCTAACATCTAAGCTGCCATTTAACTATGCTTAATATAAAAATAACAGAATAGAAATAATTGGGCTTCCCCTTTTTTAGAAATGCTTTTAAACTGATGTTTTATGTATTTATATATATTTATGTTTTTAATGTTCAGTATGACTCGCCCAGAGTTCCCCCATTGGGGGGAGATGGGCGGGTGAGAAATTTAATAAATAAATAAATGAATGAATAAATAAATAAATAAATAAAATGTAGGATTTCCAAGGATTTCACATCACTTCAATAAATGGGGGTAGGATAGAATTGCATTGATAACTTAATGTTCAGTATGACTCGCCCAGAGTTCCCCCATTGGGGGGAGATGGGCGGGTGAGAAATTTAATAAATAAATAAATGAATGAATAAATAAATAAATAAATAAATAAATAAATAAATAAAATGTAGGATTTCCAAGGATTTCACATCATTTCAATAAATGGGGGTAGGATAGAATTGCATTGATAACTAAGTTATGATGAAATTTTATCTGAAATAAAAGTAGAGGTAAGAAAGGAGAAGGATATTCTTTTGGAAAATTATATATAAACATTTTGAGAGAGATTTATAGGAAAATCTAACAAAACAGACACACCAAATGAGATGTTTCAGCTAAAATTAGTCATGACTAAGGTATTAGATAATTAAAGCCAATTGAATAAATTAAGTTGGATTTATGTGAATTCCATAGTTTTCAGGGAACAGAGTATTGCTGGAGCAGTGCTCGGTGAGAAACAATTGGATGGTCACAAGTAGGTATAAATATATCATCCTTTTGTTTGACAGAAAAAGAACTGCACGTTTCAATTGCAAAATTGATATTTTGCATTTTATATTAACAAATGGGTTCTTCAGCAAAATTCAGTCATACAGAGTGTTTTTAAGAGTCTGATTAAAGCAATGCCTTTTCTCACAATATCCCATTGCAATTTCCCCCTAACCTTGACTAAACATCCATGCCTTCTGATATGTTTAGTCCTCACTGAGTTGTTGTTTCTACTCTTATTTTTTTCTTTTTTTACTTTTTGCAAATCTTGGGGTTCTCTTAAGCCTATTGATGCCTTCCTCTTGAGTATGAATAGCATCTTTTGGCTACCTAAGCATTTATATCTAGAAAATGGAGTTGCAGTTATTTAGTATACGTAGGACTTGGAGAAAATTGGGCATTTTAGTGAACCCTTCACTTCAGTTTTTCTGTAATCTTTGCAGATCAGCTTTTAAAACCTGTAAATGGGCTGCTTCTAAGTTTCAAACTATAATCACATTTCAATCTCTATGGAGATAAAAGAAATGGCTAGAAATGCTGAGCTGGCCCATGATTTGATGCATGTTCCTTGAAAACCTGAGCGCCTTTCCTGGTAACCTCATTTACCTTTGATGAATAATGATTGCTACAGTAACTATATGGAGGTAGAGGGGAGGAAGCAGCCCAGGTTTCATGATAATCAACTTCTTGTCAGCTTGATGTACTCATTTAATAAAGCTTAAGGTATAAGCAGCTTTGTTGAAAATGTGCCACCCATCTAATCGGTCGATTGGTCATCGCCACATCCAATATAGCAAATCCCACTTTTAATATGCCTGATGGGACTTGTATAATAGATTAGAGAGAGAATTATTATACAACTGGTACCAAGCAGATCCTAATTATGTATTAGTTAAACATCCTGAAAGAAGGCAATGGTAAACCACTTCTGTATTGTTGCCAAGAAAACTCCATGGATGCAGTTAACAGAGCTCGAGTGAGTCTTTACCTTTTAAAGTAATCAGAATGTAATAACTGAGCCCTACCTTAAAATACACACGGGACCAGATACCATAAATCTACCCAACCTGTGGCAAAAGGACAGTCTGCTCCCTCTCAGTAAGTGGGAGGATTGTTGGAGAGAAAAAAACCAGATTCAAATCACTTGGATGATCACAGACTATTTAAGCCACCTCACCTGGTTTTCACTGAGGATCAAATGGGATAAAGGGGTTATTCATTTCAGTTTCTTAGATGAAATAATGGATAAAAGCACAAATACATTTGACTGCTATCTTACCTGTTTTAATGAAAGCAGTGTCCTTGGATCAGGCTAAGGGGCTGCTTACTTCAACTGATGCTTTAAAGGTATGGGATAAACAGAGTCTTCTACAGTAAGCCTGCAGAATGTCTGATCTAGCAATCCAAATACTCAATAAACCTCTGGGACTACCAGGAGGGCTGTAAAACACCTGGACATTGCCTATGTGCTTGGGGTATCTGCCGTTATACAAGTTATACAACTCTGCTGACTGTGCAGAGCATGGCAACAGATCATGTTTGACCAGAGTTTAGATTCACTTCCAGAAACTTGTGCCAGGGCTATAAAACAGTATCCTAAAAGATCTAGATCTTTCATATCAGACCAAGAGGGGCAATGTGGTAAAATGGTGAAGTTGTTGATCTAGAACTAAGAGATTTCAAGTCCTCCTTCACCCAAAGAAGCTTACCGAGTGACTTTGGCCCAGTTACTCTCTCCCAGCCCAATGTATTTCACAGGATTGTTATGGAGATAAAATGAAGGGAGACCCTCGATGCAATCTGACACATTGAGGTGTCCTCGTATCACTTTGGGAACTTTCTCCAGCACTTCCAATACCTCTTGGAAGCTCTACAGGAGGTTTCTATGCGTGTCCAGCAAATGGAAGGGCTAGAGGAGGTCCCAGAAGGATGTCAGTTTGGCAATACAACTCTTTTGAGGTTAGTTGAGCTATGTTGCTTTGCAAAACAATTCAGAGGGATGCTTTACATGAAGTATTGGCAAAGGGAAGCACCTCTCTGAAGCTTCATATAGACTTATTTTTTAGCATTTATTTTTTATGACAGGGCTTCATTTATTCTTTTACCATCCTGCTTTTTGAGGGCATTTTATTTCTGTTCATTGCCTTGTGATTAATGGGATGGTAGGCTGAATTAACTGGATCTCCCTGCACATCCACTTTAATTTGGTGCAATCCTATCATTTCCACATAATGATTGGATTCTGTTTTGACTAAAGGCTTTCGATAAATCTGTGGTGGAGGGTACCATTCAAATTCATTATGAGAAGAAGGACAGAGCAGAATCTTAGCTTTCCTGGACTTGAGTATCGCTGCCGATTTATATACAACAGTGACCATTGTCATCTATCTCAACATGATGTTCTTGGTTATGTATCACCAAAAAGACATTATTAAGCAAGAAAACCTGCTTTTTGGAACCTGATGCCCTGCATGTATATGCCAACTAGAACTCCCCAAATTCCAAGATATTACTCAGCACATCTGGAGAGAGCCACATAAAGGAAGACTGGAGGAAAAAATCACTGCTTTCCTTTATCACTATGAGCTAAGGAAAATCCTCAGATTCAATGTTTTGTTGGAAAAAGCAGCAGCTCTGAAATAAATTCTCCTTTTCTGTCTCAAACTTCTTCTCAGATTGTTCCCTTCTCTCCCAGCGTTGTGGTGCTGGTACTGAGGAGTTGGGACCCAGAAAAATCCTGTGTAAGTATGACAGAGAGCTATGGTGGGAAATCAGCTAGTACTTCCATTGCGTGAGGATGGAAATTAAAGGAATAATTTTTTTAAAAAGCAATTGTAAGTGGCATATACCTTACAAAATCCCTGATCTGTGGACTCAGTGGCCAATATGCTTCTGTGGATGTTTTGCATATGTGTGGGTTGACAACCTGTAACAAACAACTTTGTGTGTTGCATGACAAATTTATATCATATTTAGCAAGTCTGGTAGTCAGCATGCAACAGCATTTATTTGACAGCATTAACTGCCTTGCTAACTTTAATATCTTGAGGAGTTTCTAAGGGGATACATTGATAATGCTGAGCAGCTAATAGGAACAATGAGATTATGATACAATTATGATTAATTCAATCCTCCCACTTCTGTAAATCATTTCTATAAACTTCATATCTCTCTCTTACCTTATTTAAAATTTCAGCAGATGTCTTCTCTGAATAGGAGGTTCTGCATGTAATTTGGTTCAGATTTTCAGGAGGCCCAAGGCCATCATTCTTGTTCTTACTTTAAAGCTTTTAAATCTGGAAAGG